GAAAGGAGGTACTGTCCTGATTGCCGACAGTGTCCATGCTGAGTGGAGGTGACATGGGCTGCTCAAGATCATAGAAAAACTCTCTGGCAGAGCCAAAGGCAGATGCCGCTTTCCCCAGGTCTCACTTTAGTGCCTTAGTTTGTGCTCTTAAGGAGTTTGCTTGGTAACTGGGAAATGGATTGTATGCACAGTTAAATTGATGTCAGTCTAGAGTGCAAGGGCCTCCTAGAAACTAAAAAAAAAAAAAAAAAAAAAAGTAAATTCAAGAGCAAAACCAAATGTATTTTTACATTTTTAAAAAGCATTGTGGAGTGAGCAGACAGTGTCTGACATGCTGCCTCCGTTACCTCCATAACCCCAGGGATTTTAAGGGTTATGAACAGAGACCACAAGTTTTTGAATTTCAGCTCTGGGACCAGACTTTGCACTCACATTGGTGTAAATCCAGAGGGGTTTAGAAATTCAGAGGAATTCTAGTCAAGATGTAAGAATAAAGGAGAACCAAAGCAAGTGCAGAATGTTAGAAAGTAAAATGCAATGCGTGTTATTTCAGATTGGCTTTACAGTCGCATCCAAGTTCAGCTGTGCTAGGCTAAAGCCAGTGATCTTGCCAGCTCTCGGAGGCTGAGCTGCTGTTGATCTGTTTTGTGCGTGGATCTGAGATTGCTTGGCTGTCATGGACCCAAAATCAAGGATTGTTGGCAACCTGTTGAGTGTAGGAAATAAATGAGGTAAAGAATTTCATCCAGTACCTGCTGAGCAGGTGGGCAGGCAAAGCAGGGGGTCTTGGAGGAGAAAACTCACAGGAACATGAACAAACCTTTCTGACCAGCCAGGCAACTCCAGAGTGCAATACCAGAGATTAAACAGATCTGCCATTCTCTCACTGCCTCCTGCACACGCACACCACACCCCAGTCCCCAGGATTACAGGTCTGGTTGGGATGACAAACACAGCAAGGTGCAGCATTTTGGATGTGTCTGTGACTGAAGCTGCTAGTAGGGTTTTTCCTTTTCCCCCTCCAGGGCACAGATGGTTATTTTGCCATAAAAGGAGTCAATAACCCAGAAATTTATTTACAAAAAGCACTGGACTATGAGAAATTTAAATTGACAACTTTGCTCTTGTACGCAAGGGTAAGTTCTTTCGGAGGAACAAAATTGCCTTCTTTGCCCCAGCCTCCCTTAACTGAAGGGTAAGTCTGAATGGGAGATCTCTGGGGTGGCAGGAGGGAGGGTGGATACTGGGAGGGTGGATTTGGAGCAGCTTTTCACCCTCCATAATTACACAGTGACAGATTTGCATTCAGTCCACCTTTGTCAGCAGAATGAGATAATTCACTACAGCTAACCTGACATAAACTGCTAAGCCTTAGACAGAAGAGAGTTACAACAGCTAAAAGCCCCTGGGCCACTGGCTTTTGGAGGTGGGTTTTTTTGGCAATAAAACTTGCATCTCATGAGTATGCTTTGCCTTTGGGTGCAGGACAGGCCTGTGGGCAGCACTGACACCACCCACACAGCTACCGCAACGATAAACATCTTTATCGAGCAAGCTGACACCAAACCACCCTGGTTCCTACCCTGCACCTTCATCAACGCCGAGAACAGCGTTTGCATCAGCAGCCCCTATACCGGGAGGGTCAATATCTCCGAGGTGTCGGTAAGCAGGCGTGATCAGTCAGTGTCCTCGCTGCTGTTCTCAGACAATGTCCAGATGCTATTCCCAGTGGGTAGTGCCCAGTAATTGCCACGAGCTCACGCAGATCTCCAGTCATAAATGCAGATGGTTCAGCACGACAGGGTGGAAAATGGAGATCCCCTCCACCCCAAGCAGCACTGCTTGTCCTTGCTCCTGCAGCAAGGAGAAGCGAGAGCTGGAACACCCTTAGCTCTAGGCTGCCTCACCTCTGCCCTGTCACAGCCATCTCCCAGCAATAAATGCCATTCTGCCCAGACAAACCCACCAGTGCCATGCTGGGACAGGAGGATGCTGCAGTGTGGTATGTAACGCCCTGCCTTGTCTTTGCAGACGGAACCACTCATCCTGGAGCCGGGGCCTATTTATGCTATTGATCCTGACTACACTATAAATGAAAAAATCCAGTACAGTATTGTTGGTGGTGAGTAGAAGTTGTCACCTTCCACAACCTCCATTGATCTTCTCAATGCTTTTTGTCTCTTGAGCTCCTCTGAATCCCTGGCCAGCACTCCCAGCCCTTGAAATAGCTGGGTAGGCAAGGAAAGCAGCATTATGCCCTGGGGGTATTGTGAAAAAAATGAGTTGGTGAGCTCCAGGTCACTTTATGAAGGTATCTGATGATTGAATAGCTTTTCCGTTTTCTTTAGGGGATACAGACAAAGTATTCTCAGTGGATGCAGACACAGGGAATCTAACTATGAACAAAGCAGCAACTTCTCCAGATTCCTACTTACTGCAAGTCATGGTAAGTCTGATGACACTGCAGACAACACAGCGCAGGTGGCTTTCCGGGGAGCGGAAGTCTTGAAGTGACAGGAGTCAATTACATGAATAATTAAAGAGGACTTGGTTACACCCTTTCTTTTGGAAGGGTTTAGGATTTGATCAGTGTCTTATACCAACTTACATGCGAAGCTCTTGCAGAAGTTAGGAGGCATTTTCTCTTACACGTGGGTTGTAACGTCAAAGCAAATTAACTGCATGGGGACATCCTGCTGAGTTGCAGGTACGGAGGAGCGTCACTGGAAGGCTTTCTTCAGGCACAGCTGGAGCTTGTGTTACAGTAGTTAATGTAACTCAACTCTAGAGACAAGCTCTCTTTTGGGTAGAGCTCAAGAGCAAAGGAGGAGTTGAAAAGCACTCCCTGCATGTACATACCCAGGAAGATACCCAAACCCTCACAAAGTTGAGCAGACTGGTGCTGGAATCTCACTGCTTTGTGCTGCAGCATGGCAGTTTGTCCAGATGTGGACCTTATGGAGGGTCATATCTAGACTTGGGGGCTAGACCAAGACTGTGTGGAGGGCAAACAGCAGAAGCAAGCTCAAACACAAGGACTCCAAACCATAAGGCCACCTGTGATAGGCCTGGCTCAAAGCTCACTGAAAATGGTGGTAAGAACCCCAGGGGCTGCAATGAGCTTTAGATCAATCCTTTCCTTTCGTGTCTCATCACTAGCAGGGAGACCAACATCTCTCTCTTTCTCTCCAGGCCACCCAGGTCAACAACATACAGAAATACTCCGTAGTCAGTGTAGAGATTAAAGTCGTCAATAAAAGTGTTTATCCACCGTCCTTTGAGAGCAGGATCTACAATGGGACAGTATTTGTTGGTCTGGTCCCCAGAAGCTTTGTCCTCCAAGCTGGTGAACCTTCAAGCCCCCTGATGATAACAGCAACGGATGAGGATTTCCCTGATGTAAGGAACTGAAAATGCACTGTGTTCTTTCTCGCTGCTTCAGCCTTAAAGTAGGATCAGAAAACAGGAGGAAAGGGAGGTGGGGAGAGGCAAACACATTTCCCTCTAGTGTTCTGTATTATATCTCCCTGGAAATTCCACAGAGATCAGAACCACTTATGGTGGGATTCAATGTGGAGAAGCAGCTGGACTCCACTCTTCCAAAAGCCAGTCCCACTCAGTCTGTGTAGGTGAGCTGGGCCACTGCAAACCAGCATGTTGGGCAAAGCCCAGGGTGAGCAAAGACTGTGAATGGGTCCAGATCTGAATTAGGGTTGGGTGCGGTGTTTCCTTGCAGGGTTCAGGGTGGCAGGATCCCAGGTGGAGGTGTCCTCTCTCTGCCAGGTCAAGGAGAGCTATTTGTGGACTAGTCTGGGAAGAGCAGCCAGTCCAAAGACAGCAGACTAGCAAGGACCTGCAGTCCTGGGATGGAAATTGTTAACTTTCTCCCTGTAAGGACTCATTTTGAGAGAGCCACTCTTGAAAAATGTACTGTGAGCAGGAAAGGGGAAGAGATTTACTGACCAGCCATTCCCATCTCACCCTATTAAATGAAGTGCTGGTTTTATTGATGCCAAGGCTTCCATAACAAGACTGGGGACCTACTAGAGGAGTAACAGCCTAGAGACAAAGGAAAAATAGTGCAGACCTCAGCACAAGTGTTATCTCCAGGTACATCACCCCTCTTTGGTCCCTTGCGTAGATTTACTTTGCTTTGGCAAATACTAAAGATACCAACACAAGCTGGGTAATATTTATGACTTCTCTGGAGGCGATGCTTTTAGAATACATTCTTGAACTCTGAGCAACAGAGTGAACACACTTGAGTTCAACTTCTCTTACCTCCTCAGTCCAGATTTATTTATTAGGCTGTACACCTGCTCATACTTCAGGTGTATTTGACAAGTCCTGCCACTGGGTTGTTATGAAGATGCTCATAAAGCACAAACAGTGCAGTTTAATCATTCATTCTCCTGCCTTTTCAGAAAGTCAACCCAAACATTGAGTACTACATAAAAAACAGCACGGATTTCATCGCAACCAAAGATGGACTCATCCTGACAAACGTGATGCTGCAGTCACCGGGAAAGGTGACCATCGAGGTAGGACAGCTTTCTTCATTTTCTGTCAGAGTTGTGGAAGGAAGGGGCAGTTTCTAGTAGAGAAGCACTGAAGGTGGAATTCCATTAGGTAAGGGACCGTAGCAAAAGGACAGTCCTTGCCCCAACTATTTGCATCATAAACGCACAGGGATGGAGGGAGGTGAAGTGACAGCAAATTTACTGCGTGTGATACAAGCTGTATCTGGTGCTAGCTGTAAAATGGTTTCTCCAGTCCTGTGGACAGCATCATTGGAGACAAGCAAAAAGTAAACCGGAGAGATTTTAGGAGCCCCTCTCCCACACTGATTTAGGAGAGTGAGCAAGTGGGTAGTAGGATGATGTGTAGGTATGGGTGGGGTATGATTGCTGTCATATACCCCAGCTCGAAAGGCTACAGCCTCAAACCTGAAAATCCTTTGGTGAATCCAGTACTTTTTTTGCTCGGGTCAAAGGAAGCAGTTAACAACTTCAGACTTTAAGAAGCTAGTTGTCCACTTTGTCTGTCTGCCAGTGATAACAGGCTCTCTAAGGCTTGCCTAGCACAATGTCGTGCTCTGTGGAGCTTATCTGAACCGGCTTTACTCTAGCATTGTTTTAGTTGCATGGGTAGAGAGAGGTGCCAACACATGCTGGTGCCTGCCCCATGCTGCCTCGTCATCTGTGTACAGCACCGTGCTGCAAAGCTGTTCATAAACGATCCACCTGGTTCTGGCCCAGGACAGGGACTCTTCAAAGATCATCTTCCTCTGCGACCAGGCTGTCCAGCTACAAGGCAGGGCTATTGTGAGGATGTGGTGAGGATATGGACAAGGCACTTTGTCCACAAAGGGACAAACACATACTTTGAGAATGAGCTGGAGATCCAGGAAGTCCCTAAGCTGTCTCTTGTCCATGTTCACATAGGCTGTTGGAAAAGATATGGTGAGCCTGCAGGAGGCCAGCACTGTGATCGTGGTGGAAGTCGTCCTTCCCACAGGTAGGCTGGGTGTCTCTTGTTTTCTGCTTTGTGGAGATGACTGGGGAGTCTTTTCCACTTCTGTGGTCAAACTGGCAATGACAAGTCACCCACTAAAGTCTGGGGACCTGGGCTGAAGGCGACCTCATACTTACAAGAGATTCTACAGTGGCTATAAGAGAGAAAACACTCAAACAACATCCTTATGATGTGGTCACCACATGCCTCAAACAGCCTCCTGAGACTTTAAGTAGTGCTGTGTGCTGGAGTGTCTTTTCTTGTTATTCCAAAGCTGGCTCTGGGGTTGCTGCATGCTGTTTGAACCCAGGATGTCCAAACATGGCAAAGCAGGATTGCCCTGATGCCTTGCTCTATCATTGCTCCTTTTTAGCCCAAAATATAGAAAACTGCAACTTTATTTCCTGTCTTACACAGAGCAGACAGAAGTTGGCACATCCCCACAAAGTCAGGCTTCCTCGTCAAGTTCTTATACTCCAAGATTTTAAGGTCTTACCAGGAGAAATGACCCATGAGAATTAAGATAGACATCTAGCTAAACCCAGTTTCAGGGCACAGTCCAGCTCAGCAGAAAGCTACTTCAGATGTCAGAGCCCAGAGCTGCAAATGCTCCAAACAGATGTACCAACACTTCTACACAACTTTTAAATGCTACCCCTGGTATTTAAACCCACAAAATAATGATGCTGGTGAGTACACAAAACTAATTGATTGAAATGACACTGAATAACTCGGAGCCTATGAGAGGAATTGTACTTTATTCTGTACCACAGCCAGCACCCAGGAATGGCCTAAAACAGAGCTGAGATTACCATATGCCTGGCCAGTCTGTAGGATATTTAACCCTTAACTCTTAAGAGGTGGCGTTAAGGAATGTGCATGCAACAGGTTGGAGAGGCTTTACTGAGCCTCCCAGTATCCAGGAAGCAACTAGAATTGTTGCTGCTTCTCCTGGGAAGTGGTGACTGTACATTGGCCTCTGGTTTCTGAGACACCAGCTCACACGGATCTCGAGGTGAGTCATTCCACCAAGCTGAGACAGCTTTCACAGAGGCACTGCGTGCTGCACAGCACAGAAGGAGTTAAGGGTGGTGGAGTTTCACATCAGCTCTATGGAGACATGATTAAGAAGCAAAAATTCACTGACGTCCTAAACCCTCACCACCACATTAATGATAAACTGAGGGCATAATCAAATGCAGAGGGAATACTCAAAGTCCATCGTCATAAACAGGTGAGCAGGAGAAGAAAACTATGTTTCATTAATCATTAAGCTTTAAACAGGCTAATTTACACTACAGAATGAAGCTGGAAAACTTAAAAATAAAGAATCCCATTGACAACAACAAGCAAAGCTGATTAACCCTGAGGAAGTTACTATCTTTCCACTATGTTAATCTCTCTACAAACATGCTTACACTGACCAGTGGCTGAAGCATAAGCCGCTGCTGAGAAGGCTGGTGTACAGTGACAAAAGGGCAGGAAAAGGTTCCCTGTCCTGAGGACCTTCTAATGCTTTTTCTATTTCCTATTATGCTTTATTTCCTATTTTAATATGCTGGCCAGTATCAGAGGTGATGTTCTGGATTAAAGGTCATTTTCACACACACATGTACAAACACAGCTCATTTTTGCATGCTGGTGCAGTGGAAAGGACAAGATCTGTCTAGCTTTGCTCCATGTGACATCTGCTTGCCTAATACAGTTGTGTATATATTAGCTTAATGAAATCCTGGGGTAAAAGCCACTGTCCTGTAAATGGATGCTATTCCCACTTCATGCAACTTATTGGAAGCTACTCTGTGAGTGGTCACCTTAAAAACCCTTCTGCTTTCAGGACAGCAAACAAATGGCCTTCTGTGACATTAAATATATCACATTCCACAGCACAGGATGCTGCTTTGCCCTTCAAAAATTGGTCGGAGCTTCGAAGTGTTGTGTTAAAGCTAGCTGCCATTCTTGGGCTTTATAACACTGTTTTTTCTTGTAGCTGCAACCTCCTCTGAGAAGACACACACTGCTCAGGACATGGCTATCTTAGGTGGAACCTTAGCTGCACTGCTGTTAATTGCCTTGGTCTTCCTTGGAGTGATGATATATAAACGGTATGGAAAACCAGTCAAATACCTGCTAAGGAAAAAGGTAAGTGCCCTGTTTGTGCTTTAATTTCTTAGAATGAGAAGGGGGGATCTGAGGAGGTTTTAAGGTATGGGTGGGCTGTCCAAATACTGCATGTATTTGCGTGGTGATGAATCACTCCTGTTTGCAAAGGCAGCATCGCCTTGGTGGTGTTTTACTGTTCTTTTCTGCCCTCTGAGGCTGGAGCTGTATGGTCTATGATGAGCAGATGTGGTAAGGAGAGAACCGCAGTTCCACGGAGCACAAAATCATGTGTGAATGTGACACGTATCAGAGGTAGACTCTGAAAAACATGTGTCTGTGGTATAAACCACTGTTCATCCTCTTTCTATAGTCAATGGAGAGAAAGGTCCCTTCATATCCCACCCACAGCCTGGGCTTAGACAGTTGTGTGCACCTGGGCTATTTACTTTTGGCTCTCTCAAATCCCTGCTAGACTGGTCACTTTGAAGTTTGGAGTATAATTCATCTGACCAGATGTTGGTCTCTGCCTTAGGATGGGGCTGTCAGGAGCCTAGACTCCCCTGACTGCAGCATGAGTCAGAGCACATAGCTCAGGGGAACAGCAACAGTCCTGCACCCTGAGGGAGGTCAACCCCACTCCAGGGTAACACCCCCAATGGACAGGTACCAATCAGTACGCACTGCTGGTGCTCACCCTCCTGAAAAACACGGCTGTGCTTAGCTGAAAAAATCCAGAAAGTGAGTCAATTAAAAATAGCTGCTCTAGGGAGCTGTGCTTTTCCCAAACTTCAAATAGGTCCGTCTGCAAAACAAGCTGAAGCTTT